TACGGTATATATTTACCGCCCCCCCCCCCTTGACCTAGAGATATTTTGCAAATTCCGGAAAAGTGGAAAAGTTGAGAGAATTCAAATGTGGTAGGCAGGATGGGGGGGGTCGTATCAGAAGACGAGATTCTGAGGAGGAGGAGTTGTGTTTTGAAAAATTTCCCCTTCACGGCTGTACGTGCCCTGCCTGGCATTGCATACATAACAGGCTACTTCCCGGCCAAAGAACTTGAAAGATAGTAGCACTGCTATGATATATTGATTGGATCATGGTGCGATGATGCGCACGCGCGCGTGCCTGCAGCACGTTTCGCTCATTAGGACTGAGGAATATCAATGCACACTTGTGGGATAGTGACTTTAGTGCACTGGGTGTCGTGCTCCTTGTGTTGTTGAAGAGGTCCCATCTCAAAGAATCAACCCTTTTTAAATGGGGTCGAACTTATGAGGCATGTTCTTCATCCCGACGACATTTTTTTTTATTGTTTTTGAAAGACACTCTATTTTGGACACTCACACAGAGATAAGAACTTTTTATAACGCATATATTTATAAAATTTGCTTCACTCTTCGATAAAGCATAATAGATTAATAGCACTTGTTGATGGAAATCACAATTCAATTCCAAATATACAGGAATAATAAATCATTTAATTGCACACATGCACTCATCATTTCATAGGTAATTATGGATATTTTTTTAGATTCAGAGGAAGAGAGTCACTTTATGAGAGTCCTTAAAACGCCATTTAAATGAAAACGGCATTTGTTGTCGGGTATGGACACCAGGGCGTACCAAGAATTGGCTTTGACGCGGTATCAATTGTGAACCACGTCGGGCGCTACCTAAAACATTCGACCATGGATAGGCGGACCCTGTGATACGCCTTCAAACTGTGATGTGAGCCAACATTACTCAGTAAGTGTTTTCACAAGTTTTGTGACTGGCTGACTTCACATTTGAGGCAATAGGAGGCAGAACATGTTCTATAGTAGTAAACTCAACGTAGTGAGTTTTAATATGCTATATTCAATATTTCTCTTCATGAATCTATTGACAATATGGCAAAATGAGGTTTCAGACTGCACCGAAACAGTGATATGACCGTAATTGCATACATTTTCACAATACTGTGTCCAGAACGGCTCACGACATTACATTTGCACTACTAGGCGATTATTGATAGTCCCAGTCTTTCAGGTGCAGATACCGATCATCTGGTACAGGTCTTGTAAAGAGTCACTTCCTACCAAACAAGAGGGGGTATGAAAGGGCGTACATCGGAATGCAGCCAGGACAGCCCTTTCCACGTTATGGCAGGCTCACAATGACGGCGATTGGTGAGAAAGGCCACCTGGCTGCGCACTAATCCAAGCCCCCTTTACCCCCTCCTTTGCAAAGATTCGCTTCAACCTTTGACTGAAAAATTGCAGAATTATTTGCCTAAAGCTCTTTAGTGGTGTAAGACTTCTCATGGATGCTTGACGGACAAAGGCTCGGAGCTGTGGAGCTCCCACCACCTTGACACCTGCACCATCCTTAGCGCACTGGACTACGTTGTAAAGAGTATCACTCTCACACTCACTCGACCACTCACTCACTTGAAAAAGTCACAAGCAGTTTCAACCCCAAGGAAACATTAGGAAGGGTTCAGACCCAGTGCTCCACTCTAAGTGAAGGCAACGTTGCGATTCACCAAGGAGGTCAATCCCTCATGCCAATAACCTAGGCGCAGTCCGCAAGGAAATGTCCTGTTCAAGGTACGCAAGGAGTAAGCAGGATTCACCCTTATCACTCATTCCATGAGGGTGATGTGTGCTCTCTCGCCCTGCCTGGTCACTCGTCCTCACGTGCGGTCATTTTTTTTAAGTACCAGTACAATGGTCAAAGTTGAAAGGGGTTAACTAGGGTGTTACCGTCTTTTCCGCTTCTTTCTTCGCTGTAGAGCAGCTTAGTACCTTAAGAGCCCACGATTTGTTACCACGAATTCGCCCACAAAAGCACAACCAATGAAGATCATTGGCGCATCCTCCTGTTCATAAACAGAAAAAGGAGCGGCGTCTCAAGCAAAAAAGCGCAATGGTAGGCGCGGTGGGTGGCTCCGCCCATACCATGAGCGCGCACCGTGTTTAAATCCTCTCAGTATGCTCAAAAAGTGCAATACCCTTTCCGGCTGTAACGCCTTAGGCAGCATAATCCTTGTTATTGGTGCAAGGCTGTGGTTGGTGCTGCAAGAGAGTAAAGGAAACGAGTAAAATGAGAGAGACGGATTTGGTAAAAATTGCCGTCAAAAAAGGGAAAAGTAGGGTGAATAGGAAGAGTGTTCTGGTGGTGCAGCTCTGCGTTCTCATCGAATAACCCTGCTTTGTACTTTCTGACTACCTATGCAGTTATGGTGTGGTGACGGACCCGCCAGACCTGCCGGCTCGCTTTACGACTGTGATAAACTAGCGACCCCCAAACTGGCCGAACTACAAAGTTCCGAAGGCTTGAATAATGCAGGACGGCATGACAAGTTGCAAGTATCATACTACAGCGTAACAGCAAAGATGGCGTTATCTCAAGCACTACAAACCTTTTCCTCGCAGCAACCTCATAAGAGAATGAACAGGCATAGGAAGTATCTGTTGGTTGCATTCCACGGGGTGTGCGAGAGTATTCTCCCGATCCCCACCAAATTATCCGGTTCAGCCTAAAGAGGAGGTCAGTAAACATGAAAGATCTGGAGCCAGTTCACCTATCCTATTATTATAAAGTAGTCAAGGTAGTGCATCAACAGCACGGGAATTTGAAGCATCCTGCTCGTTATTATCCTATGAGCAGAGAATATGTAGACCTAATGAGGATGAGCTGTTGCTGCGACTGAATTCGGTTCCAGCCCAACAGAAAGATTAATATAACGAGTCACTGATCGACTCGGATGTGATTGTAATTTCCTTCCTATCAGTCCACCCATTTGACGAGACCAACTCTTCTTTCCACTCTTCCCTAGGCTTATATCCGTGGGCTGAAAAGAAGGGTGAAGAATTGCGCAATTCAGCTGAAAAAAGCAAATTGACTTGGAATCTTAAAGAATAAACGAGTCACTTTTACACAGAGCTCAGGGCACACTACGGCGCAGTATATCAGCAGAGAGAACCGAGTTCCACCTCTACTCGGACTCGCGTTTCAGCATGAGATAACGCGCATCTAAACGCTACAATTGCCATGCGTTCCAAGTACCGGACACCCCAAGAGACATCGTCGTTGGGGAACCTACCCACCACATCAGGGTTACACTTGCCGCGCCCCGCCCATTCCAACTTCCACAAAAAACGACCCACAGCAAGTAGAGAGATGCGCTCCAGTCTTCTCTTCGAGCCCCCAATTAGAAGAAGAATCATCTTTTGATAGTCTGATTCATATACTGCCGGCCCCACGCACCGCCCACGCTCCCAGAGAAAATCGCCTCCCCACTAGTCCCCATCACTACCTCGACAGCTAGAAAATCAGACACACCACAATTTATCATTCCATCAAAGTACTGCTCATAATATCACAATTATGATCCTTACTAATTTCACAGGCTTTTGATTGAGCATAACCAGGTCCTCCCTAGTTCTGGTGATTGAAATTTACTTTCAATTCATGTTTACTAAATTCGGAATGAGGTTAGCTTCTGCATATCGAACACTTATTATTCCCCCTTTCTCTTACGGGGTGTTGTTACAGGGGGGGGGGGGAGGTCGTACTTGTTCATTGTTGGGAGGGGATGGGTCGCATTGACTTTCTGACCTTTCTAGGAGTGTAGGAGTGGTGGGAGTGATGGTTGAAGTTTCCGGGCGGGATTTTCTGTTTCATGCGTGCTTAGTAGCCGTCCCTTCAACCGCGCCCACGGCCTTGCGTTTTAATTCGATGATGAGGGAGAGAGGGCCGGAGCCGGAGGGGTGGGGGTCGTACCAACCTCCAAAAAAATGGGGGGAGGTTCGTACGGCCCGACTAAAATCCTCAATCAATGATGCGCTCTGGGTCCAATGCCATAGACGCGATGCAGCCGCAGACGGGAATCGATCTTCGTCGGTCGCCTTTATTGAAAGGGTATGGGAGGGGGCACGAGGGTACGCGTTGCCTGAACACACAGTCATGTATTGATCAGCACTCGCCGCTGCGATTTGGGAGAGTATAAGGCAGCGTCTTTCAGCGACTATCACGTTTTGGGCGTTCGTCAGCATCAGCGACGAGGAAAGTTTGAATAGATATCGATCTGGCGAACGGCAAGGTCTACCATCGTTCATCAATGACCATCAGCGCCTTGAGGGTTTAGCAAAGCATGGATATCGATCCAGCGTCTACCAGCGTCTACCTGCGTCCACCAGCGACCAGGAGAAGAGAGTACATGGAAGTAGGGGGTAGCAGGCTGTTGATGGCGAATGGGGTAGTAGAATGGGAGAGACAATTAAATTGGGGGTCGTGAAATTGTGGCGTGCACCATCGTACTACTACACAATACCGTGCTCCTGGTCGCTGGAGACGCTCGTAGTCGCTGGTAGCCACTAGATAGGTATCCACACTTTCGTGGTCCCTCGAGACGCTGATGGTCGCTGGCGGACGCTGCTGCAAAATATGAACATGGTCTAAAAGAAAGCGGAATCCTAGGTTGTGTGAAGGCAGCGCCTGCCCTCCTCTTATTCTTTCTCTGTCAGAACACAAGCAGCCGGCGGGGATCTTCCCCATGCGGCTGCGTTCGCGTCTGTAAGACTGGAGGGTTGGCGCGTTACAGCGCGTCGTCGCGCGTCATTGCGAAGTTTAAACACTGAGGGAAATCTAAATCCGCAATCAGCAAGGAAGACGCTCTTTTCGCGGGTCGAATGTGCACTGCAAGGGGACTAAAAGGCCACTACCAAGGCCTATGAGGTTAAAAAAAGAATATTGCTTAACTTGGAGGGCAGACTGTGTAAACGAGCCTGGGGAATGGGAAATGTGCACTTACCTTCTCTCAAAAAGTATGTTCAAAAGAAATTTACATAGATTGATGAAGAGATAGGGGACATGTTCCACTCACCATGACATGATTTGGCACAATATCAGGATATCTAGGTTTGGGTGCAGACATATATGACGAGTAAACTGGTGGCTCAGGTTGTGTCCTCGGCATATAGGAAGAAGAGGATTCTGTAATTCGAGAAAATTCTGAGGCTGAAATACTTGGCCCAAAAAAAGTGAAAGGGAAAGGGCGTACCCGATCTAATCCGTCCATAACCATCGTTATTGTCCAATTCAATGATACACTTATGGATATCACCACCAGAGGAGGAGTAATACAAGGGTGTTGGTGGTGTTACCTCCAACTTTGGCTGCGGTGGCGGTTTTGGCTTCTGTGACAGATAGGGAGACAGTGATGAAATTCGACACTATTTCCTGGGAAACTTACCTCGAATAACTCGAGTACATTGGCGCGATGCTTGTGGCGCTTGGTAGGGGCCGTCTGAGCAGCAGAGGACTTCAACGGCGACAGCTCACGTGGACAATATGACAATGAAGGTGAAAGAATTGCACTGTTCCTGGACACGCTTCCTAAAATGGAGTTGTCACCAGTTCCTGTTTTTTTCAATTTTTTTTCTCGAGTTATGAGTTCTACGGGGTTAGGAAGAAGCTGAGCTACAATACAGATAAAAACCCCGATTCGTAATTAGATCCATAGTTGTAAATTGTAAAGATGAAAAAGAAAAACCAAAAGGATTAATTTTAGCACTCTACTACTAATATCAAAATAGCTTAAAAAATCAGGCATATATCAACAATAATGTTGTGTGTGTTGCTGTATTTGTTTATTTTTTTGTTTTTCATTTTCTTCTGATATACCTCTTGATTGTTGCATTTTTGTAACACAAACAGTTTCACTGACATTGCAGCGCACCTATGCGTGCATGATAAATGAATAAATAAATTAATAAATTAATAATTAATAATGAGAAGAATCTCACCTTGTATACTGATCTTGTCGTACAGCCGATTCCCTACAGCTCGACTCAATGTCTCCTTCACTGGATCAGTAGGCTTTTCAAATGTCAATTTTGTAGGACGATAAGCGAATTCACCCCATATAGCTGAAACAGTATTTTGAACAATATTGTATTATTGAAAATCAAAATCTACTGAAACCGAAAGTTGGCTCCCAAAATGGGGAAATCGTATTGTATTCTTGAACACGCGGTCCCAGAATAGGGGAGAGGGGCGGTATGGTGAAGTCTCGGGCCGCCCAAGTCCATCAAGGTCTTCCGCTCTCCAGGGCCTCAGGAGCGGCCAAGGAGACCCACCTCAGAGGATAAAAAGACTGATTTGAACAGGTCCGGCTGGTCTCGAATGTCATTTTATATCTTACCTTGCTTCAAACTTTACCATTTCCGAATTATGAGCATGGCTGTGCGGAGTTTGTTCAGTGACACACGGAACAGATGCAGTTGCTTTCGTCGCAGTCCGGCATGGCGGGGCCGGAGGCGTGGAAAGAGCTCGGTCGTGGCTGCGCTCCGCACAACCAGTAGTAGAAACCGCCGCGAACATGCTCTTCCACGCCTCCAAGAACCTCCCCGCTCTCTCCCTAGGATTGAGACGATATCAAGTAACACGCGCGGGGTCCGCTGGTCAAGCCCCGAATCGACTTTCGCTAGGGTCAACCAAGTCTTCTTCGCCTTCGATGCGGGTGAACTGATACCAGACTTCTCTATGTGGACAAAAACACTTTATTGCACAGTGACTTTTCCCACAAATCACTGTACAGGCCAGATAATGGGAGAGGGACAAGACAATCGTAATTCGGCGCGCCGTCACTAGTGGATGAAGTAGCGCAACTCTTGTTAACTCAAGCGGAGGCAAGACACCATGCCGCATGATTTCGACCTGTCCCGTTCCTTTGAAAATCAAATTTAAAGACAGCTCCCGCGATAAAAGTGTCAAGGATAATTGCTGATCAATTATGAAACAGTAGCTGATAAGTAATTCCTCAATGAAGGAAAAAAGCAACAAGAGCCCTCAAGAACACCACAAACAAAATTGCTCCCTTACAGTTACACCGCCCTGCGGTCCGTGGGCAACCCCTGGCTCACAAATCGCTTTATGGCATTTCCCAGTAGTGGACAACATCAATCAAAGAAAAGAATATGAAAAACAACAAAGACACGAACGAAAAACACTTAAAAAAAGAAAAAGTTCAAAAAACTGGCGTTCGAACTTTGGGTTACGTGCAGTGTGCAGCTTTTGGTGCATGTCGAGCTTTTGCACCACAGAAATTGCATCATTCGTGATTTTTACGCGTTTTACCTTACGAGATGGGTTGCAGTTGACTGTATGTGCTCCCAATGAATAAAAGTGATGAAGGAAGAGCAGAATTATTGATGGGCACGAGCGCGATCAGCAAAAAGTACATGCAGTTCCGATAATGCCCGCCGTCCCAAACCAAAAGAGCAACTTGAGCCGGCTCTCCGTCAGAGGCCCAGCTGAAGTAAGGCGCTCCAACTGGCAGGCGTTAGAACTAGAAATTTGAACGGCTGTAGCTCGCTCTCGCTCACTGTGGAGTCGCGGGACAGTCTCTAGCTTGGGAGCTGAACTACCTGCATAAGGAAGGACGACCATGTACTAATTGAGCGCGGGGGACTGTCTTTAAACGGCCGCGCAGGGCAACTCATCTCTCTCGCGTCGCTCGTCGCAATCAATGCGGCAAACTGCGATTTTCTTGTCACACAATAATATTCAGAAAGCCGTCATGGCTGTAAATGAAAGCTGAGGGCTTCCTTTATTCTGATCATAATCACGATTTTTAGTGAATGCTTACAGGAAAAAATCGACCTACCGCAGTCATCGATTTGCATTTCAATTGCCTTTTTCCATGCAAGCATAGTCTTGTGGCTTTCCGTTGTGATATAGAAGTCATAGCCTTCTACTTCCCGGCTGTTATCACATGAGAGCATAAGGGTATTTGAATGAGTGGTTATCAGTATTCGAGATGTCTGAATAAATGATGATCGAATCAATAATATCAAGATTCTGAAGAAAAGGACTATCAAAGACTAACTGATGTGATCGGCACAAGTAAAAGTGTTTGTTCAGCTGCAGGATTTTGATGAATGTCGGTATTCATGAAACAGTGCAGATTGCCAGCCTAGATTCATAATATGGTTCCACCGCTGTTCTTTCATTGTTTCAAAAAAATGTTGTATTAAAAAATGTGGTAATGACAAGAAACGGTAGTATCGTCTCGTAAATACAAGGACTGTCAAATCTAATTGGAAGTGCCAGTATACATGGCAAGATAATGTGAAGGTCATGGTGCTCAATTGCGGACCACAAGGTGCTAAGTGACATGATTGTTGAGAAAACTGTAAGAAAAAAAGCAGAGAAATACCCTAAGTAAGACGACCTTATACCTATGACGTGGCACGAGTTTGCCGAATTTCGGACGAGTCCTCCAACCTACTGTCTTCATGCTACCTGGATCGATACCGACGCCGACATTGCACCTCCAAAAGCATTTGGATTTAGCCCGAACTGCTCCTTTACTTCTTTGCCCTGCCTATTTTATACTTACCAGTCAAGCAGCTTGTGCCAGACGCAGTGACCTATATGGCAAGAGTTGAGTCAAACTCGGAATAACAGCTCCTGCCGGAATAGAATGCGTGGAAGTCAAATAGAACAGAACTACAGCGAAGGAATTGTGAGCTGGACTAAAACCTCAGCGTAGCGTGGGGAGTTTTCTACAGTCTTATTCAGGGGTGTGACAGTGAGGACAGGTTTGGCGTACCGCCAGCCCCCTCTTCACCAGCTGCTGAAGCGAGTAAGCGGAAGAACTGGTGGTAAACGACTGATGAGAACGATATGCTTAAGTCTTGTCTGTTGTGAAGAGAGAAAAAGAAGCAAACGAGCTGGCGCTCTTCCATCCCAGGGACACGCCCCATCGTTCGCAGCGAACAAGACTCTATGCCACCCTCTTCGTCTTTACTGCCACGCCCTTGCACGTTCCGAAAGTGGCACCCGTTGGTGGCATGTGGGCGTGAGCACCTCGTAATAATAGTGGTAATCGTACACCGCTGCTCCAAATTTGCACTTGTTAAAGAAAAATGTTCTAGCTCACTGGCATTTTTTATGACCTTCGAATACTTTAGGTTACAAGTAATTCCATACCTGCAATCTCGTTCGAACGTTTCGCAAAATTCGTCCACCACAGAGAGGTTTGACGGTGAGCATCCCTTCAGCGAGTGGTCGAAGCACAGAGTAAGGCTGAACGGCTAGCCGACACAGTACATTACCATAGAGAGGCGGACCGGATAAATCGGCTGTAATACATATTTCAGTCTTGAAAAAGTCTCTTCCCTCATATCTTTTCTAGACTCGCGATTCAATCTAGAATTTCGTATACTGACATTTTCTTACTCATATAAGAAGCAATGATTATTACTTTATACTTGCAGGAAGGGGGAAAAAGGATGCGATGATTGAGGATCGTAGTGAACCCTTCCCCATCCCCCATCCTACCTAACATCTGCATAAATTTTCTTCAGGACGGGGGGGGGGAGGGTACATAGCGCACTTGGAACAGGAAAAACCGAGGAAAGTCAACAGTGGAAAACATCTTTCTTAAAAGCAAATATGACCCAAATGGTCCCTCCAGGGACCAAATACGACCCCCCGGTGATCCCCTTTGACATTCCCTATTCGGAACACCATTACGAGTAACCAGTGGGCTTACCGACTATTCAGTCTGCTTAGGAAATTACCCAGGGATCTTGGGCGACCAAACGGAGAACTGCTCAGGAGATGGATTCATCCTGAGCAGATCCCTGGAGCGACGAGTTCACACCACTCAACTAGTAACGATACTTAAGAGAGGAAGAAAACGTGGTAAGTAAAGAGAATGTTCTAGGACAGAAGTAAAAAGCACTGGTAACCAAAATCCTCGTGTAGTTATATGGAACAAGTGGTAATTTTGTATGAGGATAAAGAACAAAAATCCCTGAAACGTTCGAAAATACTCACCGAAAGCGGACAATCTGAGATCATGAATTTTGCACTCATCACCAGCATCAGTAAGGACTAGATACGCTCGGGCGAGCATATTAAAATGAGTACCGCCGATCGCAGTATCAGGCCGTACACCATTTGCGTGGGCCTCCATTGTACTCAAATTTGACTTCTGGAAAAGGGGCAGTTAATCTCTGTGCTCACGATTGACGAGTTCCACCAATAACAATGCTAGGTGTACAAGTTATTTTGTCTACTCCAGTTGATTCAGGCCGTTTTGGCACTTTTTCAAGCACATCGCTTCGTCCTTTGGTCAGTGCTGGGTTCTAGCTCCTTTCAGTCGGATGACCTTAGGCATGACTGGGAAGATTCTTCCCTGTCCGATGAACTGTTTTTTTTAGCTTTGCAGAAGCTGAGGCGTTTTAGGAGGGAGGGGCTGGGTTCGGCGCTACTTCCCCACCAACTGTGGTCGCCTGCCAGCTTTCCACTGGCGAAGAACGAGTTGTCGCCGTGCCAAACCTAGCCCCTTCCCTCCCTGAAACACCTCCGTGTTTAGCGAGCACGACCATCAGCCTGTAGTGATCGCTTCGCTTGAAGAGGGCCAAAGAGTACTGTGATTGCTGTGCCTGTAATATGGAAGGTGCATGGATTAGGAAAGTCTTAAGACTTATGAGATAATAGGTGCATTCCCCAAGGGACATAAAAAGGGACAGGATAAAACAATAGGTGTGTTTCCTGGGAAATGTATAAACGGAGAAGCACCGTATATGACTTCTAAGCAAATTAAAACCGATCCCTGGTTGTAATAAAATCGACTAGCGATAAGAAAGCAGAAAGAATCTCTTCGCTCTAGGTCCAGCATAATCTTCAACTTTTCTGGACAAATGCCAGCCAACCGAATCAAGCCCTAATAACCTTGGGAGCAGACATATAAGGGCGTGCTTGTTGAAAACTGGGATTACCTTGGTAAGTATCGGGTCAAGGTTTTTGGAGCTGGACCGCTTACTGAGAAGCTCCTTACCCGCTTTCGCTTTGGCAGAGGTGTTCATCATCATTACGGTACTGTGTATCCCGGTTTTGCACAAGGAGTTCTTTGAATGCACGCCTCCACCCATAATCGCCCGAAAATCATATTTCCGGCCGTGTGCAGAAGCGTTCACTATACTGAAAGAAGTCTGTTCCTGACGAGTTCATGCTTCTTTGTAGAAATCCCATTTTCAGCTCCTTCCATCCAATCCTGAACCCTGATTTTTGGCTTCTCGTTCATGCTTTTGACTTCAGTTCTCAGAAACACAACTTTCAACGGTAAAATAAATTTTAGCGATCCCTTTGTGATGTTGCGAAGGGGAGTCACAATAGCGATACCTCTGTCTCATGGAACAAAGCACTTTTTATCACGGAAATTAAGGGAATAATCGATATTTTTGTGGGACTGTAAATATTTCGGCTTCCCTTTCTCAGCCATCTCACACGTTTACTTTAACGATGATGAGTGATAATGCTAGCGCAGATGAACTACCACCAATATTTGGAGAAGACGAGGTGCCCTCGAAACAATAGCCTAGTACGCCCATAACGAAACGCTATTTTCTATTGTATTTTTGGGTTTTTACAGAAACTTCCGAGATTATTGAGGGTATCCCTGTGAAAATCTTATTATTTTATGAAGGGAATATCCCTTAGAGGAGCACACTGCCCCTCATGAAACAGTTAAACGCTGAAATTCATTCGAAGCCACACCCTATCCTAGCATCAATCCTGGCCTCGTGAGCGGAATCGGGCACATTACTACACCCTCTCCTCTTTTAGGTTTTTCGCTCTTAAGGCGGAATGGTCGCGCCATAGGAAAGCGCAAGAGTGGGCCGGATTCCGCAGTTTGACGCGGACCACACCTTAGAATGCGCATAACTGCGAGCTCACTGGATACAGTGGACTAGCGGCAGTACAACTGATACAATCTCAGTCCGGGTCGATTTTCCGAACGGATGCACCGATTACGCGCGGCGTTGCCTTCACTGGTTATTCTTTTTCCTATATGGACGATTAGCCGATCATGATTGGTAGGGCAAGGTAGGGGGGGGGCGGGGTCATCCCGCCCTCGTAACACCACCCACGTTTGCTTGCGATGGTAAGAACCTGTTTCCGTACTAATGCGCGCCTTCATGAAGCTTTTAAACGACCTAAAGGTACGGTCCGCGACCAGGTATAGAAGTTGGAAATATGGTGTCTAAAGGGTAGTGTGGACGAACAACCTTGTACCGGTTTCGCATCAAAAAATTGTAAGGGACTCTACGACCGTTCAAGTGACAATTTTCATGCTTTTTCGTCCTGCAGCTTCGTTTTTCACTGAAAGGTTAGGCCTTGAGGGCAGAATCTGGAGGTTTTCGATCTGCCGCTAAAGCTTTCAATCTGCCGCTAAAGCGCAACATAGGTTCAGTGACGCCTCCTTTTTTCCAGTGACTCCGCCTCCAGACTCCGCCCTCAAGGCCCGCCTTTCAGTGAAAAACGAAGCTGCAGGACGAAAAAGCATGAAAAGTCACTTGTACGGTCGTAGAGTTCTTATCGGGGAATCAGGTGTGCGGATGAGGGCGTAATGTTGAAGATGCAGTTAATCAAGCACGTACAAACTGGGATCGGAATGGGGTTCTATTTAGGGCAGTCGGCACGTTTTTTCTGCTTTTTTTCTTCACTATCGAATTACTCACAACCTAATCATCTATATGCAAACTCCTGATCCACTATCTGTGATGGCGAATGATTGCGGGCTTTGTTTTTGACAAATTTTCACTCTGTAAATACTAACCACTTGGCCACCAAATCGTCTTCCTAACGATCGGGTTATCCTCGTTCGTAAACTTCCACCTCCATCTGATAGGCCGAGATCCGTTCTCGCTGCATATAACGTAATCTCCACACAGAAGTCATCTGGTTCGCCCTCACTGAACAAGCATCCGTTTGTACATTCACGGGTGATTCATTTTGTAAGAAGCTAACATAAGCTGAGAAAGCAACGACGACCACTCACAATATGAACGACTCGGGAAACACTACATCAGTCATCGTTCGGTCGACATTTGTCACCATTCGTGAATCGACCACTCGAGATTTCGTTTGAAGTACAAGGAACATCGAATAGACCCGAGTTTCTGAAAAGAAAACAAATTTAAAATAACCACAAGTTCAAAGATTGTCCAGCTCCTCCCTTGCTGTTAACTCGGAATCCTTATTTACTTTGTTTGTACTGCTGCAAGGACACGGTCACTGGAGGCCGGCATGGGCCTATCGGGCGCCAATGGGCCTAAAACCTGAGCGCGCTGCGTTTTGCTTGCTGTTTTTCAACTTTAAAAGCGGCATAGCCTCTGACGTTGCCTGCTTGACCATCGTGCACGGTTATGAGAACCTAGCCTTAGTTTATCGCGGAACGTGCCTCAAAGGCCGACTGTGTGGTCCAAGAAATATGTCTTTATTCTACGACCTGGCGTTTCAACGTGATCTTTTGAGCGGCGTAAACTTGTTAAGAGGTCAACTAATGAACAGTACCTGCCAAGCGCCTAATCAACTCTAGCAGCCCGAGGGGGTGATGAGAATCCAACAAGAGACTCCTACACAACAAGAAAACTGCCCACTTAAGGGTTTCCCCATATCTCGGATATTCAGAGGTCGAGAATGAGGTGGAACTTCAGCAACACATTCGCTCTCTTCCGATAAGATGGGGCAGTGGAGGTAGAGAGCACCCAAGACATTTTAAAAACACAACAACCACGGGAGGATTCTCACAGTCTAAGGAAGATGGAGCTCAAGGCTGAATATACCATTCTCCACGAAATGAGAGCACCTTCATGCAAAGTGGAGTCGTTTCACTCGCTCCAGAGCTGCCTAACGCCTGGGCCTAGGCCACAAACCTTATGCCCCTCGGTCGCGATAGCTTCTTGGCAGGCTGCAGTATCGGGCATCGTGAAAATCTTATTATTTAGAATATTCATTCATGGAAAATTCAAAATATATGTGGGACGAAGCCCGAAAAATTTCCTAGCTTTGAACAAATCACTGCCCAAGATTGGGACTACCGACCGAAACTAAACGTTCCCTGATCTCACTGGAATGCATTGAAAGAAAATTGTTATTCGATTTTTTGACACAATTTACCCTTCACTTCTTCGCCACATAAAATTCAAATCTAATTTCGAACGAGTTTTTTCCTCGACGGTAAAATCAGGCAGAGTTCTGCCACCAAGGGCCATGACGTGAAAAACGAACAACCCCCGATGGAAGGGAATTCTCGCGGTCTAAGACACTTTCATTATAAATCCAGATTGAATCTCCTTCCGAAAAAGATTGTCTCTTTCGAACGCTGATACCACATTCCCTCAGCGTAGAAATGCAGTACCGTGTCGGGGCCAGAAACGGCTGCACCGACGGCGCCAGTGGCGCAAGCGCCAGGTGTTTTTGCGACAGGCAAATAAGATTTCATGTTCGGGAACCACCTTGGACAAAGTTTAGGCCAGATCTACCTCTGAAAAACTTTGCACTGAAAATCGGACTGAATTTTGAGGTGAAGGACTAGAAGTGAATGCCAAAAGTGCCACCTTTTAGCCCGTGGCCCTGCCCATCACGCGCGCAGTCTCACATTCAAAACTAAACTTAACGCTGTCTGGGCCAGCTTGGCGTTCTAATCATCCGAGTCGGGTAACTGGTTGCAGAATCGCCTTGGACAATGATAGCAGTAAGTCTTAGTAACCAGTCCAAACATTCTATAGGCTAAAATTCATTCAGTAGCCACTATATCCTTGAAGGCGTAGAGTGCGCGGCGTATTCGATCAAAGAATTGACTGGCGCTGTGAGCTTGAACCTTTTCCATTGATTATAAAAGGTAAATGATTGGCTATTAGTGGAAGATCTTGGAGCCGGCTGAAGGGTGGAGAGGCTTTTCTGGCTCACAAAGCTTTACGGATCATAAGCTTCTACGGTCATAGCATATGAATATGTGTATTCAGTGATACTATATCTATTTTCCTTACTACTCTGTTCTTCAAAAAAGAGCAAAGCCTGAATCGAGTTACCCCGAAAAATCTACCAACTTTCCCCGAGTATACGACACATTTCGTCATGAAATTGGTATTTTTCTGTTGCCATTCCATTTTTAAGAGCTTAGCG